GGTCAAAGCAAGTCCTTTCTAAGAATCAGAAGAACCAGCTGGAGAAGTTAAGAGCATTTATATCAGTTCGGACAAACAAGATGGCMGAGAAGCACAGCACGGACAAGAGCATCCCATGAGTAACTGAAGAGCATAAAATGCAGAAAGAGAAGTCACTTGGGATGGTTTAAAGGAGATTAAAACAAGAACAAGTTAAGTRAAAATTATAAAGTTATATTTCCTATGCAAAAATCAAGACCTACGCCTGCGAGTCATTAATCCACAAGCCTCAACACTCAAAGCAACCTCTTCTCACAAGGATCCCCTCTGTGTAAAGACACTGAGAGGGCACAGTCAATCTGGTACAGTACACAAGATCTTCATTATAAAAACCTCTAATAATTGCTCTAATTCACTCCCTCTCACACCTACAGAGATGAGCTTACAAAACAAAATCCATTCACTAAATGCTAAAAGTTGGTTTACGAGCTGGGCTTTGCTGTTACCAAATTATTTTAAGCACAATTATCAAATAAGCTGGCTCCATAAAATGAGTAAAAAAAAAATGTTACTTTTCTAAAAGATCCGAAGGAGAAAGCCAGGAAGAACAAGTACAAGCACTGGAACAGCTACCACTGAAAAAAATTCAGTCCTGTACACTCAGCTTCAAACAGCACTGCAGTTTTGCAGTGGGCATCAGTGGAAGAGCGAATTGAGTGCTGCTTCCTGTCCCACGAAGCTGCTGATGGTGCAGGATGGCACAGCTCTGCAGAGGAGGCAGGGCTGGATGCCTCCCCACAGCACTTGTAATTCACTCACTTTATCAACAGATGACGCTTGTTCTGCCCTGCTGGGTCCCAGCACCTCATCATTTTTATGTCCTCAGATCATAGGAAAGTACCGCTATTCCCACGTTGTTACAGACCAGGAAAACGGTCTGGAGATGGAGCAAGAAGCCAGACACAAAATAACCCACTAGCTGCATCAAAGTTATTTTCAGAACTCCTAGTCAGCTACCACCCAACCTGAGCAACACTCAAGTACCTCTTTTCTTTCCCAGCATATATTCCAGGCTTACAAAAACATTGTTACAAGGCTGATGACCTCAGGAAGCACCTCAACATCGAGTTTAAATGCACCAGAAAACAGAAAACAACAATGGATGAAGCATCCAGCAGGCTCTAAATCTTTACTCATCCTGGTAAACCTAAAAAAAAGTTGCAACCACTTGACTGAGACATCATGCTTCCTCTTGCTCTGTTTCTTAGGCACACTGAGTTTTGATTTTTCCTGCCATGGCAAAAAGTTTCAAGAGAAGGAAGTGACAYTACTCTTAACTGGCCTGTGGCTGGATGATGAGAATACTCCCCAGGGAAGCAGGAAACTCAGATTGGAATCCCCCTTCTGCCCCTGGGACTTGGACATGATGTCACATCACTCAGCACTGCAACATCAAAAGCCCTGGTCGGTTTGGCCCCARCTGAAAGGCTTTCAGTACCTACAGGAATGAGAAAACACCAAAYGCAGCCTCCAGGTCTCCTCGATTTTACACTGCTATCTGTAATGGACCATCTTCTCTTTCTTGATAGGTGTCAAAGCTTGCAGGAACAAAGTGGCAGCCAGGAAGGCACGTCTGCAACRCACTTTTCAAGACAGACCAAACCCAAATTACTTGTTTTCCTAGCTGCCCAAGAAAGCTGTAAAGACTCATGGCATTCTGAGCTTGTCTTCAGTGTGCACATCTTACTTCATTTACAAAAAACATGTTTTTCATATAAATGCCGAAACCAAAGGCATCAGACAAAAGTTCAGTATTACTCCCAATATTAATCTTTTTTATTTATGAGCTACCATACAGTCATCACTAAAACATGTAAAATGGAAGATTCCACAAATACTTTTGACTGGAGCATTTGCCATGTATTTTGTGTGTGAAAAGATTCACTTCAGAGCACTTACATTATACTACAGAATTAGTAGTAACTTTTATCATTGCAAATAATCTACAGAATGTTTCCTCTACATCAGAAAAAAAAACTATTTCATAAACATTTTATGAAACTATAAAATAATACTGGAACTACAAAATGTTCCAGGTTAAGGCATTCTTGCTATGCCCACTGAGATTCTATTGCTTGCAATTGGCAAAAATTCAAATCTTGATGTCAAAATACACAACGCCCCAAGTTTCAGTACCAGGATTGAGCCAGGGATGGAATTCACCACACGCATCCAATATTGAACTTCTGTGCACATAAACATGCTGAGACTTTGCTTTCCATGCTGCCTTGACTACATGAACAACAGAACTTGAAATTCTACTAAAATCACATTTTATACGTGCAGAGTAAAGCAGCGGGGAAGAACAACAGCATGGAAATCAAAGGCTTAACATTTTTTGGGGGGTGGAGAGGATTAGTGACCTACAGTTGTTGTATATAATTTTAGAGACACTTGCCCTGTTAACCYAGTTACAAAGCCAACAGTGAGTAGCAATCGAAGCCACAGTGGCAATGATATTTTGCTGTCAGGGCTCCAGAAGATCTACACGAAGAAAACAAACACTCCCTCAAAGACTACATAAATATCACTCTCACACACACACACAGAATAGAATTCTCAGTACCAAATCACTTTTTGCCTCATTTTCTCTTCAAGTTCAAAGATGTTTCCATTGGATACTTTCCTTACTTCTCTTAGATATCCTAAGAGAGTTTTTGCATTTATTTCCTTTTCTCTTCTTTCCCATTATAAAAAAGAGAAAGAGAACACATCTTCCTACATTGTGGGCACCTAATGATAGTTCATTGTAAGTTGACTCCCTTTTCCCAATTCTCTAGTCCTTTCTCCTCCCATAAGAAAAAAGACAGAACAAAAGAAGAAATGTTTGTGATTTGTCAAAACTAAATGCACTGACCTTAAACTATCCATTTATGAYGGCATGGGCTTCCAGCAGGCAGAGCTGGGAGACCTCTTATATTCCCTCTGCCATCCCTTTACTACTGTAGTTTCTACRGCACCACGTCATTACCACAGAATAAAAAGTTTAAGATAAAACCTATTGCAATYACAGCATTCCCTCTTGTGCTACAATCACAACTTTATTCTGCTGGACAAACCACACAACTCTCCCTTCACTGGCTTCTTTTCCCCTTATCTCATTTTGAAATCTCCAATTTCTCCCACCACTTCTGGTGTTCCTGAGCCAAACACYAAAAACGGGAGGAGGTTTCAAATACAAGCACCTATTCAGAAAGTATTCACCGCTTTAAAAAACCAACAAAAACAAATTTAAGCCTTGGCAATTCTTTAAAGGAATTGTGCACCAGTGTACAGATACCTGAAGCCAATGTGTAATGAGCGGTCTTCACATATCATAGGATGCAGCATCTTCAACTAAGAAACACTATCAYAATAAAAAATACTAATGAATTCCATTTACTACATCATCTAAGATATGATATATCAGAATGTTTTATTCTTACAATATCTATTCATACAAGGCCAGTTTAGGATATTGGAGTACATTTAAGTCATTCCTTTTTTTAAACYTCCTTTCCATCCGCAGAAGAACTAGGATCGGATGGTTATCAATGTATTTATATTCCAGTGGTTTAACAATACAAATTAAAAATTAAGATTTGTGGCTTTTCATATTTTCAGCATTATAATATCTACCACAAAACAGCTGGACTTCAGTAGTAGAAAACCATTCYTCTTCTCTCCTAAAGTGTTCATTATGGACAAGAACAATGTAAAGATCTAAAATRCAACATGATCCTGAGATCATTTCAAACACAAACTGCATTAACATGGACTAGTAAGACTTTATACATAATCTTTGGTCACTGCTGTTAACTTCTGCCATCTTACTAGATTTTCCAAGGTATTAACAGTAAATATGCTTACACGATACCCAAATTCTCTGAATCCATGCAAGAATAGCTTCTCAAAATTGGTATCATCAAACTTAATTGCAGATGGACTTTAGGAAAACCYAAAGACTGAGTCATTTAGCACCCCCTTTTGATTAGAATTAATTTGCTTTGCTACTGAATGCACTTTACAATTCTATATTCTAGGTCCAGCTATTACTAGACGCACCTCATCAAGTCATATTTCAGTAAAACACCTACCATTCTTGTGCTGGAACAATGCAACTTTTATAACCCCCTAGTGCCGCCTGCTTGCAATGCCCAAGCTCATGATACATCAATGTTTCCGTTACCAAGCTCTATGACAAGGGGTTTCCCAGTTTGGCCATAAAAAAATTATTCCATCTGAATGTTCAAGTATTTCTCATCTTAAATGAATTGCCCTCTCCCTAACCACCATAAATAGCATTTAGATCTTAATCCATATGTGGTATGAGCCAATGGCTCATTTTAAAGGACAACATGCAGTATGTGCTATGATCTCTTCAGTTCTGAACAACCATCAGTGTAGCCTTTCCATCCAGGCTTCTAGGCAACTCAATACCCATTTCAAACACAGATTTTTACTAACCACTTCAAATTATACTATYTCATTTGTGTAAGATAGACACTGCTAGTACACCCTTACATCATGCACTGAACTCCTTTTCAATCTATGAATGCAAGTCCAGATTAGTGCTCAGTAATGCTATGTGCATCCTATGGGACAAATCTGCAAGGAAAAACACACCATTCTACTCAAGAAATAAAAAACACGTAAATTACAATACACAATATATAAGGCTCAGATCTCAACAAGCTAAGGAAGTCACAGACACAAAGAGACAGCATATTTCAAATTGTATCATTGGAACTTCCCACATTTTACTACTACAGAAACAGAAAAAGATGAAAGATACCCCAGTGTGTGTTACAGATCCACGCAGAGGAACACACACAGTTTGTCACGTCACACACACACAAGCTCTCATCGGCAGAACATGAGATTATGCCCCTTAATATTAATACAGTTTCTCCTRTGTTCCGAAGGCAATTCAGATCTTAGACACTCAAAGATACAAATAAATCAAGACGTAAATATCTTACCTTCCTATTTTACAAGCCACTGCAGTTCTCAGATTATGAGTCAGTCTTAGGTTAATCTGCAGAGGAATGACTCAGTATAAACTTTTAAACATTCATTATTTTTTCTAACCTACAACACGGCGATTCATTCAAGGCGCTAAAACGCGGCGTCGCGAATCAGTGCATGAAATGAATGGCGTGAAAACAAAACACTTTTCTCTCCGCTCACGGCAGGCAGACGGGGATAGCGCAGCGCCGGCGCAAGCAGGCGGACTTTGTGAAAATACAACTCCTTCCGCGCCGACGAGGGGCAGCTCCGGCGGCGGCGGCGGCTCCGGGCGCAGCCCCATGGCCGGGGAGCGGCGGGGGCTCCGCCGCAGCGGCAGCCGGGGGGACGCGCAGCCGGGACCGCGCTCCGCGCCAGGCGCGGCGCTGCCGGCAATGCCCCTTTAAAGGCCGTCGGCCCGCCCCCAGCACTGCATATGGAGGGAGCCAGGAGCGAGCGAGCCTTCTGCATTCAAACGACACATCAAACGCCGCAAGCGCCGCCGCGGCTCCCGGCTCCGCTCCGGCCTCGCCTCCCTCCCCTCCCCGCACAGGCACACACACCGTGGGGAGCGGGGCAGAGAGCGAGAGGAGCAGGGGAGGGAAGGGGGAGGCAGGGATAAGTAAGTGAAAAGGGGCACCTGCAAAGCCCTGGAGTGCGAGTGCGTCCGGGCAGGAGAGTCCGCGCCGCCCCACCGCAGGCTGATCTATCCCCGGGCACCGGCCGCCGCCGAGGTCCCGGCACGGGCTGCGGGTGCAGCGCGCTCGGCCCCTGCCTGGCAGTAGATGCCTCGGTCAGCGCCGTGCCCCCGCCGGAGCGCCCCCGGCTCCCGCCGCCCGCCCGGCCCCGTCCCCCTGCCCGGAGCGCCCGAGCGCGGGCAGGCGAGCGCGGCCGGTGCCGGAGCCCCGCGCGGGAGCCGCCGCCACGGCGGCAGCGAAGCTCCCGCCCTCCCTCCTTCTCCTCCGCCGCCCAGCCGAGCTGAGCCGAGCCGAGCCCCGCGGCCGCCCTACCTGCGAGCGTGTGCGGGGAGCGGGGCGGCGGGCGGCAGCTGGAGCCGGGAGAAGGCGACCGCCAGCCCGGCGGAAAGTCCCGACCGCTGTGCGCCGTCTCCCCCCGCCCCGCACTTCCTCTCCCGCCCGCTGGAAATCCCCGGCGAAGCCCGCTGCTCTCCCGGCTCCTCCCAACACCGAGGGCGGGCCCGGCCCAACCGCTCAGCGCGCAGGCGACAGCCGGGGGCCGGGCTTGCCCTGGCCGCTCGCCCCGGCTGCACCTGATGCCGCCGTCACCCCCCTCCCGTGGGCACGACTCGGGCAAAGGGGCCCCGCGCCCGGCGGAGGAGGCGCGGGCTGGGCTCCGGAGGAGCGGCGCGTCCCGCTCCGGGTGCGGGGTGGTGCCGGCGGAGCCGTGGGGGCTCGGCCGGAGGGCGGGCGCTGCTGCTGGGCACTGGGGGAAATGAACGGCGCGGGGAATAGCGCCGGGAGAGCGGGGCACGGGAGAGCGGGGCACGGGAGAGCGGGACCCGCACGGCGGAGCGCCGCTCGCTGCCCCTGCCTGTCCCGAGGGAGATGCAGCAGCCCCGCTCGAGGAGGCGCCTCGAATACAATAGCGTTTATTAAACAAAGAAAATGCCAGTGGGAAGAAGGGGAGGGAGGGAAAACAGCGGTTGGGAGGGGGAGAAGAGTCTGGAAGAGATCAGGAAAGAGCAGCAGCGAGCCAGAGTCGCTCGCCCCGCGGAGAGGCCGATCGGGGTCCCCGGCAGCCGCCGGCCGTAGGTGCCAGCCCCCTGTGGCGGGCGAGGGGTGTCCTGCCTGGCGTCCCGGGGGTGCGAGTGGCACCCGCGTCCCCTCCGCAGGCGACCGGGGAAAGGGGCGGCGCTGGCAGCCCATAGAACCTGTCGCTCCCGGCGGCCAGGTGACATGAATGCCTGTGCCGGGCTCCGCTTGTATCGCGGCGCGTCCCGCCCGCGGCATTTGCCTGACCTGTAGCGGCGATCTCGCTTTTACTCGGGGCATCGTTGGSTGTCTTGGCTTGTCGTGTGCCCGCCGCTTCACCGGGCTGCGGGGAGAGAGGGAAGGGAGGGTGAGAGGCGGCTCTGGCGCAGAAGCGGCGCGGGGGCTCAGCCGGAGCCGGGAATGCCCAGCCGGAGCTGGGGATGGGGGATCAGCCGGAGCCTGGGTCCGGGGTGGGCTGGAGGAATTGCCCCACAGGGGCCGTCGGAGCCCCGGCTGCAGCGATGGGGCTGGCAGCCGGGTGAGCCGCAGCTCTAAGGAATGTGCGGAGCTGAACACGGAGAAATGTGTGGTGTTTGGCTAATTTCAGTGGGATGAGGTCACCGTCCTTTTTGGACGTTGTTTATCGAGGGATCACTAGGGAGGAACAGTTGGATGCGTGATCCTGAACGGACAAGCTTTGCGTCATAGTTGCCGCTTGCAGCATCTCCACGAGTCCCGAAATCCATCCTGACCCTTCTCGGTCTTCATCCCCCGGCTCTCTGTAACGCCCACGCCAAGCTGCCCTGCAAACCTAAACATCTCTAGCTCCGGCAATGTCCTCGCCAGCCCCTAAATCACGAAGCTTGGCCGCACCGCTAATTCCCTCCTGTGTGCTGTTCTTCTCCTCATCCCGCTTCTCTGCTTTCTCTCTTCCCCCCTCTCTCCCGCCTTTGCTGCTGTCCCCAGTCAGAGCCTGGTTTAGCTGTCAAGACAACTGCGGCTTTTGAAACGATGCCGTGAACCTGCCGTCAGAAAGACAGTCTCAGACGGATGCCTCGCATATTCTCATCACTTGTTCAAGACTGCTTAGCTCTGGACCGGCAGAAAGGACTGTGCACCAAGTCTGGATTTCTCCAGCGGCAGGGCTGCAAATAAGTTTCTATCAGAGACAAACCTGCAATTTCCTCCTTTGCCACTCTTTTTGCTGTTGTATATGTGTCCTCTTGTTTTGCCCTAAAAAAAAAAAAAAAAAGAAAAAGAAAAAATGGAGAAAACATAATAGGATTCCAGTGCCTGTAGCTCTAGCAGCTGTACTAATGCATTCTTCCCTAAAAAAGAGAAAACAAATTCTTATACCATTTAAAGATGTTAGAAGCTTTTCCACATTAAAAAATGTCTGTAGCCAAAGGGATAAAGTGGTGATTTAATGAAATACCTACCATTTCAATTGCTTTGGTGGTTTTTTTTTGTTTTCTTTTTCCATATTGTGTCTACAAAATTTTACAGATTTCTAATATAATTATTACAGCAAGATATGTCACCAGTGTTTAGTCTTTAATTGGTTTGGAATTTTGTGTTWTAAGCAGTGTTTTCTCCGGGGCTTAAATAGATGTCTCAAGGCTGCTGTGACATAGTAAACMCTTCTGCTTGGCAGTAGTATTTAGAATATAGTCATTGGAGGGGTAACTACCTAGAACAGCAGAAATTATAGTAAAGACCATGGAGTACCTCTATATTTTAGCAAAATGGTTTGAAGAAATAAAATAATAGTGCATAATGCTGGAAAATCACATGAGAGGAAAGAAAAAAAATCCACTGAGAGTGGTAATCCCTTACAAACTTGAACAGGGATACTTATCTCCAAAAACTATTTGGAAGACATAGAAGAGCAAATGGCATGTGATTATGGAAAACTGATTTCTCAGCTACAGACTGGAAGGTACCACTGGGAACTGGTAGGGCTTAAATGTTCTCGAGTGTCGTAGAAACTCGATTTCTCAAGCAAACAGTCCATGAGAGGGGATGCTATTTTAGGCCTGGTATTAATAAGCAGCAAGGACCTTGTAGAAGGCCATAGTGTTGAAACCAATCATGAACTGAGTGATCACGAACTAATCCAGCTGAAGTTAAACTGCAAGAGGAACAAATGCAGATATTTGACTAAGATTTGAGATTGAAGAAGAGCAAACCCAGAGAAATGGGAAAAATTCCTGAGGCAAACATGATGGATGAACCCAAAGATGATTTTTACTTAGAGATATTGGAAGAAGCAGCAAAGAACAATTGCCAAAGCAAGGATGTGTTCAAGGTTAAAAAGATAAGAAGCAGTATCCTGTACCTAACACTGTAATGAAAGAAGGAAGCTGGTGATGCTGGTACTCTTTGGTCTACAGCTCTGACCTTACTATGGGGGTGAATTCCTCCATGAGAAAATGACTGTGAGCTGCCAGCAGAATGGCTGTGGAAAAGGCTCACTTGAGTCTATGATGCACAAAGCGTGGTATTTTTAGTAGAGAGAGGGAAGTATTCACCCRGCTTTACACAGTACAGCTGAGGAACCTTGTTCGGAAAATTGCATCCAGTTATGGTGACTTACAGTCAGAAAAGCTTGACTCAGGTTGCCACAGGTGCAGAAGAGGAATACTGGGGTGGTGAGAGAGCAGAGTATCTGTGTTCTTGAATGGGAGCTGCAAGCAAGCAAGCTTGGCTTCTTTAACTAACCAAATGAAGCCAAAATAGTGTGATTCACRCAATAAATATCCAGGAAGGAGTACTATTTAAATTAAAGAATTATGCTAGCATGGTGATGCATGTTCATGAATTGGTCATGATTATACTTAGTTTGAAAAGTTTTCTAACCATTCCAAGAGCAAACAAACTGTATTCCAGGCACAAACATATACATGATTTTAAATCAGRGCATGATACTTTGTTGTATCCAAAGGGGATTTAAAGAAGACTGAGCTGTTGACCTTTGACACTGTACTGTAATCATTCCCAAGTTTCAGGACAAATTCTGGTCCTCTGCCCCATCTACATTTGGCTTGTGAGGTTATTTTCATCTGCCTCTGAGGCACTGGAAATTAGTCAGAGACAGGATGTAGAAGGGGCTGGTGACATTAAGTCATCAGGTGGTTTGTGGTGCATCTTGCTCACAGGCATAGTTGAGTTGACTGCCAGATTTGTGTCACCACAAAACCTTTTTTCTCAGGTGAGCCTGKCAAAGGACTGTTTTATGTTCCCCCTGCCATCTTTTTTAAATCTTCWGGGAGATATATTTGCTAAATATCTTGTTGCATGGGTACTGGTTGTAGTCTACTCTGATATTGTGCTTGAGAGGTTTAGCCTTTTTACTGCAGCTCTTAAGTTTATTACCTCTTACSAAAACGTGTTTGGTGACCCTCAATGAGTGAGGATGCAGAAGAGTTATTGCTCTGAGATCTCCTAAACAAAATGACCATTGTGTGTTTGTACAGGGGAAACGTTCCCTGTCCTATCTTCCCAGAAGTGGCCTCAACAGGTTATTTTGAATACTGGAAATAAACCTGAGACAGGGAGAGAGAAAGAGGGCAGCAAACCATTGTTTCTTGTGTGAATTTGCTTATTGCAATTAACAGTCATTCAGATGAACGTTTGTAATTTGGAATGGTACAGTGCATCTTTRTTAACCCTGCTGTTTCAGGTACAGTTTGGCACTGCTTCTGTATGGAATGTTAACTTTAAGTCTCGTGGTTCATGTGTTTCACATGGCTTCTCCACAGTCTCTGCAGAAGGTGGTTATAGTTTTTTTTCTAATCAATGCCTATTGTGGATCTGAGCAACACTTAGCAGAAGCCAGTTTCTRCATTTCTGGCACTGAGGCACTTTCTTGGCTTGCAGCTTCCTCATYCTATGCTCTGGATTGAAGGTGCTTATTAACAGAATAATAAAACCATTAAATTTATWTTCTATTTTATTGCTGAAGCACTGCCCAAGAGGACCTGTACCATGGGAATACACATTCATTTATTGCATCCCATACAGGAGATAAGAGTTTATTTCAACTGCTACTAGGCAGTAATGTCTAATGTGATAGCCCATTTGTTTGAGGGAAAAAATGTTCCCCTGCCCAAGTGATGATTCTTGACTTTAATTTCCTAAAAAGTGACACTTTTCCAAATGACAAGCATTTGAGGTGAAGTATTCCCCAAGTCTTCCAGAAGTAAGTTATACTTGCCTTTATGCATTTGCTATGTAACATTTTTCCTTTGTTTCAAGTTAATTTTAATTCCCAAATCAACTTATGGAGCTACTCCACAATAGACAAGAAATATTAGTATGGCATAACACAACCATGTCTCAGTAATCTTAGGACCTTCTTAGTCTCTTGTTGAGACAATTAAAAATATATTGAGGTCCCCAGGCTCCCCTATTATCAAGACTGCCAT